ATACAATCATATTTAAATTAAAATTTAAAGAGAATATAAACTAAGTCTGAGAAAGAAATTACTCAATAATAGTTAAATTTAAATCATATTAGAGAAAAACTCCTAATTGGTTTTATATACTTACTCACAATAGAGTCAAAAGTCACTCAATTGATAGTTACCAGCAGTAACTCGGATTTGAGTTAAACTCACTTATTTCTGATGCAATAGTTTCACTCAGTTGTACTCGTACTAATAGAGTGAAAATTTCACTCAATCGGGTCTGGACAGAAATTGATAAATTATTGAGTAAAATTGAGTTAAATTTTTTTACAGTGTAATGATATTTTCAAATATTGAGAAGTATAATTTATTTGTGACTATTCAGATTATGAAACGTCTTCACTATAGCCATCCTTGTCTATCGCACGGATGGATTTCACTTTGTCGCTCGCTCTCATGTAAAGGCAGATGGACCATGTGGATTTTCCAGCCCTGTATATCTTTGAAGAAGATTGAAGTAAACTGCAATGTAAAGAAGGATAGTGCAAAAAGGATATTACAAAAAAATGGTTTCAAATGTTATAAGGTATGGAAGTGCTTCATTATAAAAAATGTAAAAAATTTAAAGGATAAAAGCGACGGCGACGTGCATTATATCGCATGAAAGAGGAAAAAGCAAGCAATTTTTTGTGACCATAGCCTGCTTTGATGATATTTTTTTACCCGTGTAGAGATAATTAAAAAAATTGTTTATACCAGGTGAAAGGTATCAATTTTGCCATAAAATATTATTAAAATAAATTTTCTCTATTTCTTAAAATATGTTAATTAGTTTTTTTTATTTATTTGTGTATAGTTGCATGTTAATTGGATCAAAATAAAAACTTTTTATTCTTGCACTTTTTTCTCTAAGTGCATTATTGAGAAGTTATAGACATTTAATTGGTTAAAAGTAGCTATAACTCATCAAGAGGCATTTTAGAGAAAAAAAGTGCAGGAATATAGTTTGTATTTTTACTCAGCACGATTGTGTACTTTAATTTCAAAATCTTAAATATTTTAACAAAAAATCGACATTTCCACTGATTTTGAGATGTTTTTTGAGATTAGGGAAAAATTCTATTAAAAAATATATGTATTTTTTTTGTGGCTTTGTAATAATATCAAAATTGTCAGTGTTTTTTTACAAAAACTNGTCAGGTGTCTTTTTGGTAGTAGAAAATGTCAGGTTAATTTCAATATTGTAACTTGTTTAATTTTATGTACCCCTTTAAGGGGCTGTATCTTAACAAGGGATGCTCCAATGAAGTTTCTTTATATGAAAGATTCTATCTTTTTTTCGATGAGGAATCACCCCCTTAAATGTTTTACACTTATTTAGTTACACCCTGTATACACATAAACAAGAGATATAAATGTCTCTTCCTGAAATTCCTAGCTATAACATGTATTTTTCTTCAGGAAAACAGTTTTTAAACCCAATCCTACTGCAAAACTTCTTTATATAGGATTCTAGAAATCTCCTCTGAGAATTTATCTGCATCTAAATTTACATTTTCTCTTTCCCATTTTTATATTCGACGTTTTCCACGAGGGTAGAATATAAAATTTCTATCGGATGGGGCACGTTTTCAGTTTAAAATACATACACCAATCGGAAACAATACATTGTTACAAATTTTGTGTCGTTTTTGATGGAAACAAATACAAATGAGAGCGGTGATATGCAAAGATATGGTTTTTTTTGTAATATTTCAAATTGCTGTCAAACTAAAATAATGGGCACATCAGGGAAGAAGCAACGAACGAAATTATTGTGTGTAACATTCTCCTAGTATTATAATTCCCATATTTTATGTTTCCACGAGTTTAAGTTAAAGAAGAATACAGAAAAGCAGGAAATATCAATCATAGAAAAGTCAAAATTTTACTTTCTTTCAATAAATTAAAAAAAAGTCTGTTGCTGAGGTTACTTTTAGAATATTGTTGTATTATCTTTTTCTTTTTCATTTACCATCAAACCTAATTTGATTTTTTTTATTTCTCACCACGTTGAAACAAATGCTTCGCCAAATTTAACTTGAGCATTTCTACGTCACAAATTAATAAAGATGCTTATTATAAAAATGTGTCGTTTTCTAGCTACATGGTGTTCAAAATTATTTAAAATATTTATTTCATTTCAATTTATAATGAATAGCTGAGGGAAGCCAAGAAAATAATGCTTTTGCTAATTTTTAGTTAAAATTATTGCTTGAATAATGATTATTCTTATTTAAAAAATAATTTGAAATTTTTACACTCTGCAAGAACTACCTACATGAACTTCTCTAACATTGTACCATTGATCTACAGAATCATGCAATATAACAAGCAGTAAGTTAAATTTGAAATAGGTTGGATGAAAAAAATTGGGAGCGAAAATTAATCATGTAATTACGTTTCTGTGTGCAATAAATCTATATCACATTCATCATTTGTTGATAAACGAAAATTAAACGATTTCAAATTTCGCTTGATTTATGAAAATCGCATTTTAACGTACCTACTATATCTTGGAAACGAAGCGTTTCCGAACTTATATGAGCTTTTGTTGACTTGTGACGTAGAATCCCATAAAGCTTATCCTGGCATTTTACTTACACAATACAGATTGACATTTACCAGTATTTTACAAAAAATGTATATGATACTTTCTGTATGTCTCTTTATCTTATTGCTACTATTTCTAATGAAATGTACTTGAAAGAGCACGGAGAACATGTAAACATCAGAAAATATACCTTTCCTATTTTGTCCAGCAAATTTGTAAAAGTACTCAATAGCTATGATTAATTCATGTATTAATAGTCTCCTAAAAGCATTTTGCGAGGTGTGATTATGTTTATAGTACCGTACGCGATTTTCTGTATGTTCAACAGGCATGCAAAGTTCAGGAGACGCAAATTAGACATATGGGATAAAAAATACGATTTATTTCCTTATTCTGAATGTATTGTCAGTTGTCTTATACCCTGAAGAAAACTTATGCAACTGGTACGATGAAAAGATATTGTTCCTAACTTGCTTAGATTTTCTAAAATGCTTTACAAAAAATTGAGCATATAAACGCCCCCCATCAAGCTAATTCAAAGAAATAAAAAAATATCCTATCAACTGATGTCAATGCTTGTGTTGGTATTTGTCAAGGGTGATATTAAAACAAGATTACAATATATTTATTTGAAAGACTATTATTTTATTTAATAATTTCAATGTATCAGATATAAGTACTTGACTTATGAACATTTACACATTTTTTAATTTTTGTTATAGATAATAATTAATTACCAGCTGCTTACTTTATAATGCTTGTATAATTCAATGTTAGTTGAGGCATGTAGTCTGTAGAGTAATTAGTTGTTTCCTGCAATAAGAATCTTGTCTATGAAGCTGGATATCTCTTGCTTGGCTAAATTTTTGGCATCGAAGAACATTGAGTTCATTTAAGAGGATTTTTAGAAAAAAATGTTTGAATTTATTTGAATTAGCTTACTACTATTAAGCACTATTTCACAACAATCATGCTATTCCTAATTAAGAGATTAATTAGAAATTATTCATCATTAAAAAAATCAATAGTCAACCAATTTCAAATTTTTCTCTATAACATGAACGAAATAGAGTGTTCGTTACTAATTCGCCTCTGCTGAACACGAATACCGCATTAAAAACTACGTGTCCGTCACATTTCTATATTGCAGCTATGTCATTTAATTTTTATAAAAATATTTTTATATATGTCTAAATCCCAAAAAAGAGCTAATAAGCAACTAGATTACAACTTATATGGTCAACATAAAAAAAGATAAGAAACCAAGACGGCATATAATTTCAATGCAAATAATTATATTGTCTGAGAAGGCAGGATTCACTATTTTTTCCTCTTATGAGGGGTATGGTCGTTCACTTTAATAAACCCACAATAGTCAGCCCCCATTCCTGCATCCCATCCTCTCTGTTCCATAGTGCTGATTTCCTGATGTAACCTTTCCCCATCATTTACATCACGAATGTTTTCAAGGAAGAAATCCTAGTATGAGTCAAGGAAATTAATTTTCGTTGACATGCAACATCTTAAATTTTTGTAGTTTCTTAGCAGTTCTACTATTAGTTGAGGATAGTTATTGCTTCACCGTTACCTAAAAATTCTTTCACGACAGAAACATATGATTCTCAAATTGCCAGTTCGAGCAGATTTAATTTTGATTTAAAATGTTCGTCTTTCAAAACTCTTCAAAGAGGACCTCCAAATATGCCTTGTTTTATTTTGGTATCACTCAGATTAGGAAACATTAGTTTTCAGGTATTCAAAAGCATGACCTGTTTTCTCAAGAACCTTTACAAAGAGTACCATTTCAGGTCGCAAGGCTCATATTTAACATTTTGCTGTTCAGTGAAGCCATCTTGTATTCTAAGCACTAAATAATTCCTTATATTTTCATAAAAACTAGATAATTTTTTACGATTTGTGTTAAAACCTGACACGAAGGAAAAACTTGGAAGACGTATTTGGTTTCAGGTAAAAAAATCTGTTAAGAGTCGCATATCAGTTTCAGAACAACATAGAACACATTTTAAAATTCTGGTCGTGATACATATTATTTTTTCATATTTTAGTTCCGCTAAAATTTGTATTTGTGTCAGTGATGACATTTGTATTTAATTTCCCTTAAGTTAAATTACATCATATAGGTAATCTATATAGTGCTATAAGTTAAATCATGACGTCATTTTTATGTTATGTTATCAATAATTCCAATAAGACATCTTTAATTTTATATTAATAAAAAAACAACAATCATTTTAAAGATATTGTATATTAAATATAAATCTCTAAAAAAATAGTTTGTATGAGATTTATTATAATATTCGAATGCTATTTAATTATATAAATATATGAAAAATAGTAAATATAATATAATCGGTATGTACAGCAATTTTAAATTCAAATTACTTTTTTCACTTATATTTTTTAATTTTTGGTAACATCTTCGTAAATTTATTCTTAAAATAAAATAAATACATACATTAGACACTCTAGTAGAAAAAGCTTTGCCCTCATGTTATTCATTTACAAAAAACATATGCACTATCTAAACTGTTAAGTCCAGTGAAGTTGCAATATTTTTATATGTACGTTATTACTTTCCGTTCATTATTTTCTTAATGATATATGTATTTTTCACGTAGAATGTAAATATACCATATGCAAAAAATACATGATAATAGTAACTAGTATAGTAAGTATTTTTACAAACATTCCTTCTAGTACTAACCGCTATTACACAATAAAAACATTAATCTGAAATAATTTTCTTTTAATAATATGTTGACTTAATTAAATGGTAGGATCATATTGATTGTTTTCTCTCAGTGGTCACTAGTAGGTTGAATAAATTAAAAATATTGTTACTATAACCAGGTGTTGGGATTTTTCACACTTAGTACATGTATGTATGTATTTTGGTAAATTCACATGAAGAAAATCTCTTATAAGTACTAAGAAGCGTACAACTTTCTTATAAACTATATTTAAGCCTTGCTTTTCGTGGTGCTTTCCTTTTGAGCTTCGGTCTTTGCCTCTGTCTGAGCCTCTGTCGCCGTTTCAGCATTTTCTGGGGTCTTATTCAGGTTATTACGTTGCGTATATTCAAAGTAACATTTATGTATCAAATACACAGTCTCACAAGCATCCTTTCCAGTTTGCTTGCAGTTTTCCACGACTTTGACCGCCCTTTCTTTATCTACGCTAGCTGGGATTTTGGCCTTAATAACATCCAGTAGAAGTTCTCCGTCTTCAGTAACAAAACCTGCCTTCTGGTAGAAGCACTTGGTGAAGCATTTTAATTTGTCATCATCGACGAAATCACCAGCGTCTGCTCTGGTGATGAGGTTGGGGTCTACCTTGGTTTCTGTAATGCAATCTTCTCGGTTTTTTCTGATCCTTTCTCGCTCTTCTTCTGTGTACGTCTGGAAAAATAAAACAGTCAGTTAGGGGGAATGGTAAGGCGAATAAAAAACAATTGTTTTACATGTACCATACACTGAAAGAAATGGGCTTATTAAACTGTTTATCTAGAATAATGTGTATAGAGCATATTAAAACTTTTATAACCAATATACAACTTTTATTAAAAAAAAGCAATCATCTCCATACTCATTATTCAATCAGTTTAACTGGAAGGTGCTTAATACACCTTATGCATCTATGAAATAAAGGTTATAATGAATTACTTATACATTATTAGGTGTTATAGACTTTATATTCCAGTTGTATAGTAGGGAAGATTTGTTGTATAAAGACCAGTATCCGAATTTGTATATAACAATTGTATTAACAGAATTATTCGTTCTTATACTGAATATGTTTCCGTTTTTAACGTGTAAAACGCATCTTATAATGGTTAAGTGATCGTCACCTCTCGGTGCATAATCGGTTATGATCGTTGTTAAGTTATATTCATAGTCTTGTAATAATAATCATATGTCAGACCCGAGAGCGAAGTGCGCCGACTCAATAAGAAACCTGGCTATTCCAGCCGCTGATTTAGGGTTCGCCGCACGAGCTCATCCCTTCTAAGATTTCAGTAGCATGCTATGCATGAAGCAGAACGGTACTCAACTATCTTATACAGTCCACTTTTATTGTCCATACATGTTCAATCATTGTCAAAATAAACACACAAAACCACAACGTCTTTATTATCTTTACTCAAGAAGAGAAAATACAACAATCGTAAAATTTCCGACAGTCCGCTGTGCATCGACTTACACACGTCTAGTTTGATGAAAATGGACAGTATATGCACATGTTTTGTGGGATACATGATCATATCGCGTTGTGTGAAATGGAAAATTATTATGTAAGTATCTAACTGTTTTATGGCTTGTAATTGTTTTGTTTTTTCAAATGTAAATCTTGTCTAAATCTTAAAAATTATTATTTTGTAGGTCCTATTAGAAATCGCTGATGTTAAGTTTTACATAAGATGGAGGAACAGAAGGTTAACGGTGACAAAGAAGAGCATGGGTATAAAGTCAATCAACCAGAGGAAATAAAATTATATGGAAAGAAGCTCAACCTTTCTGGGGATGCTTCATTCTTAAGGTGGAAGAGTTATAGTGCAAATTCTCATGTAATACAAGAAAATACGGGTGCATCGTTGCTAAGAAAATAAACTGGACAGTTTTGGGAGCGATTTGTCATCATTTTTAATGCTTAAAAGTATGTTTTATGTATGTTTACATTAGAACCTTAGCTTGTAATTACAGTTATCCAATAAAATTTCTGAAAACTTAATGACATATGTTTTTAACTCATACAGAGTATACAACAGTTTAATACATTTATTATTATAAAACTTATAACCAGTACTAGATGTTCTAATAACGATATGGAACACTTTAATAACAGTTATTGCTATTATTTCGTAAAGGGTATATACTAGTTATACAATAATTTAATAAAGAATAAGGTTTATAGTCACTATACAACTGTGCTAGTAATACGCGTTTTATAAACAATATTCACCTGTTTAACTGTCACATATAGTATACAATGGTCCTATAATGGTATATAGAATTCTAATAAAGAATAAAACGCATTTCTTTCAGTGTAGAAAAATCATAAAAACGTTGTTTCTTAGTAAACAAAAACTGTTAAAATCCGTGTTAGCTCCTTTCTTATTTGTACTGTATGTTTAAAGCGATTGTAATTCATATTTAATTAAAAATAAGAAAGAAATACACTGAAATTTTAAATTTCTCTCACAAATATAAAATAATATACAAAGTAATTCCCGTTATCAAAATAGACCAAAAAAATACGTTTTTTTCTATTATAAGCACTCTACATTACCTCAAAAATTGCATGTGACACATACTTTCTAAAGAAAAAATAATCATAGTCGTAATAATCTCGAATCTTCTGCAACAAATTAGATTGGATTTATTTTCAACTAAAACTTTTGTGTCTCCTGAGATTCTTTCTCATTACATTTATAGATTATAGAACCCTCAGAATTTTAATGAAAAATGCTAGTTACGTCTGAATAACTCTGAAACTTATTTTCAACAAAACTGGTTCATTATTTAAATAACAAGAACACTGATCTTGATTGTCAATAGAGTATCTATGGGATATAAAATAAATATAAATGTTATTCTTTAATTTTAATATTACCTATTGATTAAATGAAAGAAAAAATTAAAACCTTTTTTACAGAAAAATTGGCCGACTATTTATTAAAAGATTTTGATTACCTTTGTTAGTAAAGTTATTTCTTCTGTCTCTTACAAGGTTCAATTAAAAGATGTCAAGGCATGTCGGAGGGTTTTGTTTTGCGTTAAATCAATTAAAAAATGATTATGAAGGAAAATAATAAGACCCTTGAAAATTATTGCCTGATTTGTTTACCTATTGTGCTTTTTGTGTACTTTATAAGAATTATAAAAGCTGTATTCACCGAGATAACTTTTTATAAATCTAATAATAGGAAGTCTGACATTGTAGCCCGTGAACCCATAGCGGTAATTGTGTATTGTGATTAAAAAATATTATAATCGCCTTCAAAATACTCTCTTGGATAGCTATCTACCAACAGTAACGCCCTTCGTAACAATTTCGGAGCAAGTCTTTTGAAATGACTTTCAAAGTTTCTCTCGTAATACTGCCGATGCTTTCCATGTCATCAAAACGTCTTCCTTTCTCAATTTTCTTTCGTCAGAAATAGAGAAAGATTACAAAGGGCTAGATTAGACTCATGAAAACCTTCCTCACGGACAGTATGGCTTATTGCACTATTGTGATACAGTTTATGAGTTCTTTAGAAACAAGTGACAAGACAACTCTTCGACCTTACGTCAAACATCTGTTACATTTTACGACATAACTTCTTTGACGGTAACTTTTTTTACATATGTGTCGTGTAAACAAAAATAAATGACAGGAATTACAAACACAGTAAAAAAGAAAAATAATATGCATGCACATTCTCGAAAAATATCATCCAGTTTGTGGATTAAGGTGATCATCGAGTCTGTTCTTGAAGGAATTGAGAGATGGTGCCGAAACCACATAATCTGGTAGGAAGTTCCACAGTTCGAAAATTCTATTCGATAAAAAATGATGTCTGTTGCGGGTGTGGAAGATTTATTTCTTAAGTTTGCCGTTTTTGAGAAAATCGGAATAGACAGAAACGAGTAAGCCATATTTCAAGGGTAGCTTCTTTGGATAATTATTTTTATTCCATTATAATTAAGGATACATAATTATACTATGGTAGCTTGCTCTAAATTGGTTTATTTTCATCTAAGGAGGTACGGCAAATTCGACCCCTAGCAGATGGTAAAAAATTAATAACCCCTTAAAATATTACCGATATCAAATTTCATTCAGTTACATTGTTTATTAGAAAACATCTGGCTAAAATTTTATTTAAAAAATCATCTTTGACTACCTCAAATATAAAATACGATAGACCATAACCTCCAATAACCAGTCGGCAATAGCTGAGTATGACGAAAAATTAACCAATTACTGACACCGCTAAGTGTAATTGGTAAATAATGCTAAAATTGTAAAAAAGTTAGGTCCAAGTGTACATATGAGACACATACAAAATTTTAAGCCCATAAAAGAACATTTCTGAAGAAATTTGGGATATTGGGCTAGATTTTAAACAAATGTGTCTCAAAGAAAACTTAGAGCGGTGCCCTACTTGTTAAGAGATTCTGTATTATCATCGGCAACTGCTGATGTTACTATTTCAAGACTCATAAAAAATAAATCATAAGTTTAGGAATTTTGGTGGGATGTTTTGTAGTTGAACAGATGAGTCGTACAATACGTAAGAGAGTCTAACAGTGACTCGTAAAGTCAAATCGTTTTAAATGATTGTTGGTCATTCATTTTTATGAGGATATTAACTACAAACACAAAACATTCCAGCAAATGTCCGCAAATACAGTAGAAATATCGTTAACAATATATTTACAGTATCACGGGATGGACATTAAAAGGGCACTAACGTTAAAATATAGTTCTGTAGGGATCATACGCGTACGTCTAAATAAAGGGAAACAGTATTGTTTTTCACTGACAATGAATTTTCACCGAAACAAACGGGCCTGGATCCGTGATAATAAACTTTTATTTTGAGTGTACCTAATTAATTTTACGTTTTACTAATTCTACCCTTATTCGCCAGCAACAGGTCTACACAACAATAAAATTTTTTATGGTCTGGCTTCAAACTCCATATAAATGAATTAATTACTAAAAAGCATAAACCTTTTTGTTTAGAACCTGATGTGTGTCCCCTGGAACATTTTTAGTAACAATAGCTATATTTTATTCAGATATAAATATTGTCTGAACGGTGGTAATTCAGAAGAGCCAATTATTCCCTAAGCAATCGAATGCTTGTTAACAAATGTGGGACATTTTTAATTTAATGAAATATCATTCAGTTCTTCTGTAATAGTGCTTCTGTAGGTTTTGTATAATGGATTTTTTAATGTAATTCAATGGACTCAATGGCATTTTATTATATGCTAAATTCAAAATTAAAAGCGATAGTGAGTGCAAAGGTCGAGAAATCTATTAAACCTGGTAATGTGAAGAAACAATTAAATAGAATCAAACTGGTCTTCATTTTATAAAAATTATAACTTAGAAAAACTTAAAATATTTATAAGGCATGATTCATAGCCTGCGTAGACCAAGCAAATTAAATTTTTACTCGAAAAAAGTCCTATCCGCTAGATTATTGTAAAATTGTCTAAAGGAACATAATACAAGACATCTCTCGTCTCGTGAGTCAAAAACTTTTATTAGCTAACTTTTCTATTTAAACAAATAAGTGAGGAAAACAGTTTTTTCACTTTGCAGGGAAAACCATCAATTTTAGCGAAAAGCTTTTCTTTAAA